CATTCACAATGATATGATTTTTTGTTCTGATGATGCCTGATACCTGATCCCTTCAACACCTCTTGATCACACAGGCTGGTGTGCTTCTTCCATGTAGGCTTTGTTGCTTCTGGGCTAGATGGCTGCTTGTTTACCTGAACCCTTGATAATTTATTTATTTTAAAAATTTCATGTCTTACACGGACCCACTGTCTCCCTTCACACAACTTTTCTGTTGTCTGTCCCCCTGGGAGGGCGTTATATGTAGATAACTGTGATCAGTTCCCCCTTTCTCCCCGCACCTTCCCCATTACCCTCCTGGCATCGCTACTCTCATTATTGGTTCTGCGGGGTTTATCTGTCCTGGATTCGTTCTCTGTGTTTCAGCTCTTATCTGTGCCCGTGTACATGCTCTGTTCTAGCCGGATTTGTAAGGTAGAACTGAGGTCATGATAGTGGAGGGGAGGAAGCATTAAAGAAGTAGAGGAAAGCTGTATGTTTCATCGGTGCTATGCTGCACCCTGAGTCCAGTCATTCCCCTTTAGCTCATTTAGTCTTCCCAGAAGGAGTCTGGAGGAGCCCTGGTGGTATAGTGTTTACGCTTTGGGTTGTGATTCTCATGGTCAGCAGTTCGAAACCACCAGCAGCTCTGAGGAAGAAAGACTGGACTTTCTACTCCCGTAAACAGTTACAGTCTTGGAAACTCACAGGGGCTCGCTGAGTCAGCATGAACTCGATGGCAGCGAGTTTGGTTTTTTGGTTTGGTAAGGAGCCTTGGAGGCCCAGAGATTAAGAGCTTGGCTGCCAAGTGATAGGTTCGAATCTACTTAAGCAGGCAATCTGCTTGCATGAGGATGGACAACTTTGGAAACCCTCGGGGACAGTTCAGTTCTATTGAGTGGCTATGTGTCAGCATTGACTCTCTGGCAAGGCCTAGAGTGTTCGCATTACAAATGTCTGAGCAGAGGCCCTGAAACTTCCGAGTGTCTCCTGTAGGATGCAAATTCAGACCTAGCAACAGAATGGAGCAGATGGAAGTAGAAATGGGAAAAGTACTCCAATCCTGATGGCAATGACAGGAAAACACACTTAGGTATAAATTTAATGAGAAA